TCTGCTGTGATTGCACCTTGAATTACAGAAGGTGAGATGTTTTAAGTCCTTATGCAAAAGAGCTAAAATATTTCTCTCTTGCTCTTTCTGTGTAACTTATCTTTTTATATGTCAAAAGCTTGAAGAAAAGGAGCACAGAATAAATAGTTCAATAGCCTTTTGAAATGATCAGCTGTATCCATCTTCTTATTGGTCACGGAAGTTCTTGCCTTCTTAAAATGTAAGGTAATGTTTAATGAAGGAGCCAGTTTTTTTGGCAGGCCTTTGTCTTTTTACAAGGAAGGTCCTCATCTCCAAACTTCTGTTGAGGTTGTTGTAGCCCTGGGGAGGATGTCTTAGTAATGGTGTGTCCTAACCAGCCCACCTGGTCAGTGTCACAGCTGTGGAAGCCTCTAGTTGGGCTGGGTGGCTGCCAGTAATTCCCAGGGGTGAGGGTTGTAGGSCTGTGAGTGGGGCAGGAGAGGAAACTATGGGGTGGGAAGGGGTCTAGCACTAACCAAGTGTTGTTTTTTCTTAGGCTTTCTAAGCACAGCTTTTGAGCTGCTTTTCCTGGACAAGCAGGAAAAAACTAAGTAGAACAAAGGCCTTGAAAACATATTTAAGGTGAGTGCAAGCTTTTTTTTTAAAAAAAAAAAAACCTGTGGGACAGGGTTCACTGCTTGATGGCGTTGTGATCAGCTTCTCCTGCTGATGGGTCACAGGGCACTGAAAAGGGCAGGAGTGCAGAATGGGATGTGAGTGGGAAAGATGCACAAGCCACTCTGAAGTTTGTATAGGGGCATTTAGCCCTTCAKTAAGGGGGCAGGGAGGAGGAGCAAGGCAAATGTATCTCACCCTATTGCCCAGCTCTAGGTATTCCCTGTTGGAAGGGGGACAGAAGAAATGCAATTGAGATGGCTTCCAGGCAAGGATCTGCAACAAATGAGGGGAAGGTTGCTAGAGCAATGGGGATAATGGTATATGTGCCAGCAGGCCTAAGCACTGCAGTCTGTCAGTTCACCCTTAGCTTTTGAGGTGAGCAGAAGCTGCCTTCTCTTCTGGGGTCCCAATTGTTGGCAAGGCTCTCGAAAATTGAGTACAGGACTTACTGTGAGGAGGATATGCAACCTTAGTCCCTACTCTCAGCTCAACACTGAGACATCAGTGGGCAGGAGGTCTAGGGAGGTGTCTCAGTTGGATGTATGAGTTGTGTTTATAGTGCCTGCCAAGTGKAAAAGCTGGAAGAAGCTGTAGGTGCAACTGAGGTAAAAGGCTTGGGTTGTGTCTAGGCCTTCATGTGGGCCTTGTGTGTCCTGTAGGCATGGCAAGAGGTTTGCAGCATAATTTGAGTTACTGCTTTCATCTTGAGTGTTGGAAGATGAGGCCTGCAGTGCTTGCACAATCAGCTGTGTGCTGCAGGGATTCCCCAGGCTGAGCTGTGTCCTGGGCCCTTGAGGAGAAGCATTTTGCTGCTGCGGGGCCAGCTCTATGGAGCTAGTGATTCCCTCTGAATTTCTACCCACCAAAGCAGTTCAGCTGCAGCAAGGTGACACGGGGCCTTCAGACTGCAGAGCCAGGGCCTCTGGTTGCTGGGGGCATGAGTATTGGCTGAACAGCCTGCAGAAGGGAGAGCTGAGTGGGAGGCCCCTTGGCTGAGCCTGTGCCTTGGCAGGACTCRGCCAGATCCCTGAAGATGTGTCCCTGCACTGCCAGCAAGAAGCTGCCTCCTGTCCCTCGACTGGAGGTTGAGAACACAGGCAACAACTGGGAAGAGCAGG